TGCTGAACCTGGGACACGGCAACTTCTCCCAGTAACATGGGACTGCTCCGGCCAAGGTGCCTGATTCACATGTCTCCCTAAACTCGGCCAGACCTAGGGTCAGTGGGGAGAGATGGGCAGCCTGACAGTGATCTGATCCCTCGTACAATGGAGGTCTGAGCTAAGCGCAGTGGGCATCTCCTGGTGACATACCCTTCTTCGATGATTACAGCGGCAGCCTCAGCAATCAGGCTAGACTAGACACCTGACTGCCAGAGTGCCTGAAGTTGGGTAAGATGAATCCAAACAACGGTTCAGAATTTGTTGAAGAGTTTGGTAGAGTTGGAAACTATTCATACATATTAGTAAAATTAAGTTAATTCTTTAGAAACAGGTAATTTGATTAGCATCTTGATGACCAATGACTAATTCCAGTTGGAATGACAAATCATGACTCTGACTATATCTTATTTTTACTTTAATTTGAAGGTAAAGTAGCAATCACCCAAGTAAGAACATTAGACATACTGACAGAATGCTTTAAGACATACTCTAAAATTATATCATATATATACTACTGTAAATGTAGTTATTAATTTCTATAGTTATGATCATATGCGATTATTGGCTTAATAATAATCCAGCAGATTCTGAAGAAATAATATTCAGTTTGCAAGAGCAAAGCCAGAAACTGTTTTAATCACTCCAGAAACAGAACCTCAACACTATCTAAAAAAACCCCTGGCAAAGAAATGGCTCTTGCGTTGGGTGAGGAAGCTCACTGGACTATGTCCATTTCAAGCCATGGAAGCAAAGAAAATTCCAGAGCTCTTAACATCAAGAGATATTTTGAAATCTTTGTGACAACATAGTGCACTGGCCACAAACCGTGCAGCAAGATTACAGGCTGCCTTTTATCACACACTGAGTGAAGAATTTTAATGTATGTGAATAATTTTCCATGCCCCAGCCAGCAACTGGAGTACCTAATTTCAGCAGATCTGTGCACGGGGTGGCATCACGACTCACAAAGTAGCCTCACTGTGTCCCCATGCTCTCTGTCCTCCCACCAGCAACACTCCTTCACATTCAATGTTCATGTTGCCCTCACGTTGGCTCAACAGAAGAAGCTGATGTGACAGTCCGGTCTCTGTGACACTGCAAATGCCCTAGAGAGCAACTGTGCTCTGGCTCCATCAGTTTCCCTTTGCCATGCAGAATCCAACAAGTTGCCTAATCCAAAGCTTTCATCAACCCAGTTTATCAGCTTTCACGGGGTGCAGGGCACAAGGAGTGACAGCATCAGAGACTGAAGCATCTGGGAAGGTGTGCCTCGACAACAGCTCTCACCAGCTTCAGCCTGATTCTGCCACAACCATCTCCCACCGGCTCACATGACTGGGGGTGACTTTCGCACTGTTAAGCTCTGTCACCACTTACAGCTGAGAGTGCTTCTCTCCCACTAGCATCACTATTGTCACACTATCAATCTTAAAGGCAGTTCAAAGAAAGGGGAACAAGCTAACAGACTAGCAAGCAGAGCAAGATAAACCTGAGGTCTGGCATCTACACACTTACTTAGGCTGCAAGGAGGCAGCGACATTCCTCCACCACGGGCATGTCTGTATTGCTTGATGCAGCAGTACGTCACGCTGCCACATCTTGGCACAGACCACCAGCCGGGCAGTCGGCTGTCAACATCTCCAGAAACCCTGGATGAATCCCTGCTCTGCTGCTAGCGATGAAGTACGAGCAGTAAGCTGCTCCCTCTGAGGAGATGATTAACAAATCATACCTGCCGTCCCTCTACAAAATGCTGGGTCAGGGGCAACAACTCCCCACAAAAGTGAGGTGCAGACCGCACTAGCAGTCAGTTTGCTTCACAGCGTGAGGAGGAGTGAGTGAAGCCCCCTCTCTTACGCAGGAGGAGGAATCAAATTCACCTCCTATATGAGACAGCAGCTCCTACAACCGCAGGCTGCTTGGCAGGGTCTGGGGAGAGGTTTTCTTCCCTGTGGAACCGTGACCACAGTTGACTCATCTGTTGTGTCTTACCTTTGGATGGACTAGCATCTCCCAGCTTGTGCTGAGTTTGGACTCATACCCCTGCTCTGAGCGGCCTAAAGGTTCCTCAGATGTCAAACCTTACCACTCTCGCCGCACCTCCAGAGTAACTCTTCTTCCCATGCAATTCCAGCATTTAATGTGGGAAACCCAGAACACTGAACCCCAAATTTTAATAACCCTGCCTCCCACAGTGCCTATTTCTGTAACAGTATTGAGGCACTGCTCAGCTACAGGTGTGTGCCTGTGCCCCATTTCATCATTTAAGATGAAGCATACACCTTAGAGCTTTCTTGAGTCTGGAAACTTTCATGTTAGGAGCTACTCTGTAAGCTATTACAAAAATTTCCTCTCTCTTCTTCTGTTTTGAAACACTGAAAATCCATACAGCCTCATCCAGTTCTTACCATAAAACATATATTAAGCTTAAATAACGTAGATAAAACATACTCTGGATACATAATATATTCATCAGTATAATCTCCATGCAACAAATACCGGCATTTTTAAATTGATGAAACAAACCCTATACCTAAAGTTACTGACAAATTTACAGACTGCACTGTATCAATGAGACTGTGTGTCCCCGGGTTGCAGTAATCTTAATGGGTGTTTTACAAGTGGTTTCCAGGGTCATGGTCTCCTGCCCCTTTCATGGCACCTGTTGATGGTTGCTCCACATGGACGCTCACTCAGCGTTGCTGTCCTCACACAAAGCAAGTGTGTATTTGTATTCTGGCAAATGGCAGAGCTGTACTTTCCACAAGCAGCTTTAGGAGGGGCTGTTATGGGCAACGAGAAGGCGGCGAGGGTAGTTGGAAAGAAAGGACTGAAACTTGAAAGAGCTAATGAAGAAAGTTGGGAAGAACTGAACGGAGTTAAAGGGTGCAGCCTGGGAGAGAGAGCACAAGGACACAGGCACGCATCAAGTATGGCAGCAAAGAGATATTCACATTTTTTCTTTGCCATATACGTGGGCTGGCAGATGTGCAACTCCAAGCTACACTTCTGCTACGCAATCAAGAGCTTGAAGAGTATTTAATTACAAACAGAGAGAAACACAGGAGTTTCAAAGCTTCGAGAAGGTATCAATGCCAGGTACAGCACCGATGCGAAAAAGTGAAAAGGAATATGACAGTCAAATTTTGCCTATGTTTTAGTGTCCTGGCATTTAAAGATTCAACAGACAGCTGTTTAGCCGACAAATTTCAGATTACACTAAGAAGAAGAAGGATTCCAAGATATCAACATATTAAAAGTAAGATGATATTGTTCTACAAGCAGCATTAATGTGAAAGAAAATTCAAGTCATTTATTAATGGTAGTATGTACAATTGCATTAAAGAGGGGCATGGTATTTGCCTTAATGAAAACAAAATTTAGTGTGATTAACTTTGGACAGAATATTATTTATAGCATGTTTCTGTGGTAGACATGGAATTAAAGCTGTTCTTTATTATTACAAATACACATAATGCTATTTTCTCACTGAAACAAAGTAAGGTTGTGTGCATCAGTGATCCTAAACTAACATTCCACAATAGCCCATTAAGAGTCCTAGTTTTAAATACAAGAACAAGATCAATCTTGTAGTACAGGGAAAGTATTAAAAATTGGAGCCCCAGGAAAAAAAGGTTTATGTGGTACTACAGACCTGGAAATGGCAGATTTTATCAGCTGATGTTGCCTGTGCTCTTGCAGTTAAAATGTCTCACTAAAGGTTTCCAGAGCTGAGTAAACCTTCCAAAAATGCTGAATCTTTGGGACTGGAAGTTCAGTCAGATAAGCAGTGCATAATTATTCAGTAGTCACATGAATCTATCTGAACCTGTTTGGACAGAAAATGGGGCTGGTAATCTCACAAAATCAGGCTCACACACTTGCAGGCTTCAGTCTGCCTAGCAATGCTTCCAGAAAAGCTTCTCATTGAGCTTGGATACATCATACCAGTACCCACATTTCCAAGCATTCATGTATCTCTTCCGTACTTTTGTTCGCCTCCCCCTGTACATACTGGGAAGGGTGGAACAGAACACCCTGTAACCCTAAAGCGACGACCCCTTCTTGCCTGCTTGGCAGTAGTACTGT